TCCCTACGGAGTTTACAGAGCTGTGCTACTGCCAGTTTGAATCTGCCACTGGACCTGGTCTGAGCTTTACAGGGCCAGGCTGACAGGGCAGGCAGCCTTACCTCTGCCTGGCTGACAGCATTTGTCAGCTCACAGCTCGTACGCCTCATCCCAACACGTCCTGTCAGCGCTGGCTACAGCCTTGTTGCTTGTTTGGCAGGATGTTCTTGGGAACGAGCTCTGGCATTTAATGAGCCTGACTCTGACAGGCTGTTCTCCGTGGGGTTTCCCCTACCTTGTCCAGCCATGTCTAACCCCACTGCCTCTCCCGAGGCACTGAAGGAGAATTCTCTTGGCTGCTAAGGGGATTAAAGTCAGGTGGGACCAGCACAGGCACAGCAACATCTCAGCACAGCCCCTGGGACAGAGGAGCCACTGTTGTCCCTTTGACATCTTCCAGGCTGCTAGCTGCCTTTCAGCAGGGATGGGGCAAACCTCAAGTGTTCCTTTTACCCCCCAGAGGAAGGGAAAGTGCCAGGTCCTGGTACCAACCACTTCCTGCTGTGGCAGGCCGGGAAGACCAAGGGACCACAGGAATGTGCCTCTTGGAAGCAAAGCCAAACCCACCAGGAAGTTTTATTTTTACACACCCATTATTTCTCTTGCGCTTACTGACACTGGGATTTGCAGTCGCCTTTAGTTTTTCTGTAATAAACAAGCAGTTGCCATGGGAACCCTGCTATTAGTTAAAGCACAAATGTATTGTCATGGGGAGAATAGCAGTAGTATTTCTTGTGCTGGAGAGCAGCTCTGCTCCATGTGGTGGAATGTGGGTGGGTTTCTGCACCCGGGTCAGGCAGGATGGGGCCATCAGGGGGTGGGAAGCAATAAGCAGCCTGGCTTTCCTTCCTCTCAACTCGTGAGTTCTGCAGAAAAAAATGTGAAGCATCTGCATGGAAAAAAGAAGAGTGATCTCTGAGGTGTTGCACTGTTTGGCATGAGGGCTGCCTACTGCTCTGCCTAGTCACTGGTGATTTCTCCTGTTGCAATGTTCTCCAGTCCTGTTTCTAAGTGATAGGACGTGCTGCTGTGGAGGCAGCAGGGTGATGCAGGGGGTTCCTCTGGTGTCTGTGTGCTGGAGGCCAAGTCCCCAGGGTGATGGAGCAGAGAGGAGTGTTCTGGGGCACAGCGGGTGATTTGCAGGCCATAAAGGGGTCATCCAACTTCTCTACAAGTTTGGGCAGTGCCAAAAGTGCTCATGCCGTCTAAAGGGGACAAAATTTGGGTCTGGATGAGGGTTTCTCTCATCCTGTTTGGAGATGTTCCTGCTACTGTGGGCAGTGCTGGGCTTGATCTGTCATAGGAGCTGCACTTAGTGAGACACTTTGCTTGTAAAAAAACCTCTTCATCTCTAACCCTCCCACCTGCAGTGACTTGGAGCTGTTGGCCTCCCCCCTGGAGATGATGTTTGCAGAGGCTGCAGGGGACTTGCGGGCTCAAGGGTGTTGCTCACTTCACTCATCCATCATGGCTTGGCTGCACTGGGTGTGTGCAGCTGTTTGAAACTGCTGCTGTGGGGTGCCCATGTGCTTTTTCTGTATTTTTGGCAGCTGCCAGAAGTGCCCAGCTGTGTGTGTGCAGGGGCTGAGCTCTGCCCTACCATGGGCAGTGCTGGAGAGTGTGGCTGGCTTTAACCCACCCCAAGTGCCTGTGCCAAGTGCAGGCATTTCAGGATGGAGCTCAACCCCAGCCACATGCTGCTTTTGCTTAAACTTCAGCACTGCCTCCCCACATCTCCTGGTGCTGGAGTTGGGTGCAGCCCAGCAGCCTTCCACCCTTCCTCGTGGCTCTCTGTGCCATGAGGCTCCTGTACCCCAGATGTTGAACCATGTATCAGAGAGATCACAAGGCTCCAGTAGCAGTCATGTGAGTTCTGGCCCTCGATGAGTGACCCTTTCCCTGTGGGAATATTGCTTTTCTTGCAAGTTTTATCTCAATAGATATTTTTTAATGGGCTTTTTTTCAGTCAGCTGGAGAGGGATAAATCTGTTAGGTTCTCTGAAAGTACAGCTGTCCAACGACTCTTATTGATATATCAGCAACTGCTGGAACACCAGATTTATGACTTCTGGGCTGTGGAAAGTGCCAGCAGAAGGTCTGGGAGCTTTGGGAGAAAAATTACCTTAAAGGGAAACATCGATGCAATGGGTAAAATACATTGTTATTGGCAGCAGAGGAAATGAGAGCAGACAGGGCTGCTCCTGTGGTGCAAATGCCTTTGTGTTGTTAACATTTTCCCCCTCTCGTGCTGGGTGATTTCTGAACTGCTGAATGGCAGAAGGGAAAGCAGCTAAAGTCACCTCCACCAATTCACTGGGGCCTTCTCCAAATAAATCCTGACTTCCAGCATTTTTAGAGGATTCCTGGAGGAAGGAGGCATTGTAAAGTGATGGATTTTATGAATCCAGGAGGCCAAAAAAGTCTGATGCCCAGTGATACAGGAGAGTGTTTGCTGAGGGAATTGGGAAACTGTATGGTTAGAATGATTCTGAGAGCTGAGATTTGGATTTTGTAGCAAAAAGTCTGGTATGTTTGCATTTCCTGCCAGGGCAGCTTCAATAACACTTTGTAATAACACTGGCAGCCAGCTTTTAATATCCTTAGAGATGTTAACTCCAGAAAAGCACTAGTTTAGGTATTATTTTTTTTATAATAAAATATCTTTGTAGTACAGATCTCTGCCTGAACACAGGAGCGTCTGCAGAGATCCTTGGCAAAACTGTTGGACAGCTTGTGCTTGCCTGGGAGGGGGGAGGCCTGCCTGTCCTCCTGCCCTGGGCAGTTTGAAGGGGTCTGCAGCTAGTGAATTTTAGTGCTGCTGTAGAGAGATGAACTGACAGCTCTGTCTGCTACCCCCTGGGTGTCACCTTGTCACTCCTGCCCTAGCAACACCATGAGGCTGGACACAAAGGGGTTTGTTCAGCAGCAGAACAGGGAACTCATTTCTCATATCAATGTGAGCTTATAATTATATACTGATGAATACAAATAAATAGTTGGGGCTTCTTTTCTTTACAGTAGGTTGCAGTGGTGCCTGCTCTATGTCCCACATGAGCCTATATTGTACTTGTCCACAAGGAATTGTGACCCACTGTTGGAAATGGCTTGAGAGCTGCTGTCTGCCTTGGTCAGATGGAGTAATGCTGTAGGTGCAATCCCTCAAACAGAAGACAGCTGTTTTCCTGTTAACCTTCCTCCTCAGCCCCATAATTTCTGTTCTGAGATCAAGCCATTACAAAAACCTAGGAGATGGAAAAACACCTTTCTCATTTTCCCCAGCGCAGCTGGCAGCCGAGGTGTCTTTTACACTGGTATAAACAGGAGTGGTACTTGCATAATTGCATGGAAAAGTGGAAACAACCTGCCAATTTGGGAAGTTATGTCTGGCAAAATGAGGCTCCTTCAGCTCTTGTGGAAACTATGGAGGATGGAAAGCAGCAGGATTAGGGTCAAAATTCAGGGAGGGGGAAAAAAGAAGGGGGGAAAAAAAAAGCAGCCTTGAAATGAAGGAACAGTCTCCTTGAGGAAGAGCAACCCTTGCCTTTTTAAGCCTTTGGGCATAGGAGTAATACAGTTCTGGGCAGTGTGCTGATAGGGATGAGTGTCTGCAGAATGGACAATTAGCTAATAAGGCTGGTTCTTCCTATAATAGCTGCAGGGTTTTTATTTGATGTGCTCAGTATTTATCTGGTGTTTTCCTCACAGATCTTGGAGCCTCCACAGAGGCCCTGCTGCATGTAAAATGTAGCTTGGAGGAAACCAGCCCCTCTCCCCATATTGCTCATCATCAGTGTGGTCCCTGCCAGATTTGGGAGAGAAGCACTGGTGGTGTGTGCATCTGCTCCAGGTGCTGGCACCACTGGAGTGTGTGTGGTGGAGTTATAAATCATCTGTAAAAACTGAAAAGACATGATGTTTGAGAGGGAGAGCCAACAGCTGTGGAGGAACTGCAGGTAGGGCTCCTTTTGGAGAGGGAGAACGTGATCAGCGAGTCAGCATTTGTTCATGTTTTATTTGGATCCATCTGGCACCCTCTTTGGTAAGTGTTATGAACATTGTGAATAACTCTTTCTCTCCTTCCCATGATATTTTCTGCAGTGGTCTCTAGCGACAGTGAGAGCGACTCGGAGTTCAGTTCCTCCAGCCTGGATGACAAGCCCATCCCTGCGGGGTCAAAAGGCTCACAAGGCAGAAAGCGCCGAGCAGGACTGGGTGAGGAGTTGCTGTTCCTGGTGGCTGGAGGGTGGGAAATGTAAAGTGCTTGAATGTTTGGCTCTTGGTAATGTGGCTTTTGTCTCAGCCACTTGCCTGCCCTGCACTGGTGCAGCCCACTGGCTTTAGCTGTGCCAGGTGGTCCTTTCTTACTGTAATAGTAGCAACGGTCAGACTGCTGGAGGGTTGCTTCATTGCCTGCAGCCTTTCAGGGCCTGCCCCTGCCTTTTGGAGCCTCTCCTGGCTGCCTGACAGCACATCTCCAGCCAGCTCCTCACTCCTGACTTTATAACCCTGGCATCACCAGTGTCATTTTAGGAGCAGAGTGTGGGAATTGGGTTTTGACCCTGCTCCTGAGGGTGCCTGGCTGGGAGCAGCGAGGATGCTGGTCTTGCAGGACCTGGCCCAGCACCTGCACCTGCTTCTCTCTCCCATAGCAGCGTCTCTCTCTGTGTCCCAGCAGCACCCATCAGGGAACCCAGCCAGGCTGTGGGCCCAACGCTGGAGAGCACCCACTCCCTCTCGGGGAGCCACGGCAGCCTGGGCAGTGAGCAGGGAGCTGCCCTCAGCACCACCGAGAGCTGCCAGAGCTACCAGCCGGCTGATGGGCGTGACAGCAGAGTCCCTGGTAAGCTGAACCTCTTCTCTGGGCACATCCACACTTTTGGGGCTGACTTCCCTTGAAGCACAGCTTTCTGAGAGTCACGCCTGGCAAAGCTGCAGCCTAGGATCACCTATCCCTACTGCTTTTCTCGTGGCAGATGCTGTCTCAGCGTTACAGCTCGCTCCTTCCCTCTTCCCAGCATGTAGAATCTATTCTGCAACATGAGTAATAGTCTGGGGTGGGAGCTGCCTACACCCACCTCCCAGAGCAGCCAGAGCCTGGGTCTGTGCCCCTGCAAAGGCCCAGAGCTCCCATCTGCCCTGCAGAGCAACAGATTGAGCTTTTACTGAAGCAAAGCAGAAGTCCAGCAGCTTTATGAGACCGAGTAAGAATTTTCCTAATGTTAGACGGTTCTTAAAGCCAGGCATGGCTCTTCCCAGAATCTGCAGTGCAAAAACGAGACACTCTTTACCTCTCAACAACCTTGAAACAATCAAGTGACTCCGAGGGCAGAGGCTGGTATCACATCTGAACTGGAGCAGCTGAAAGAGATGCAAATATGTTCTCCCCGTGGTTCCTCTAAACTATTAAATAACCCCTTAAGTTCCTGTTTAGCACTGCTCCCTCCAGAGCCTTCCTGCTGCCCTGTGAACTACCACTCCTTTTGTTCCTCAGCTTGTTTTGTGCCGTGCATGCTGAGGAGTAAATTGGATTGGAGAGAGCAGGTTTATCCTTTAGTGCAACATAAAGTCATAGTCCCTCTCCCCACACTTCCCGCTAGAAAAGCCAGCATAAAATTGTTTCTCTGCTCTTCCCTCTCTCCCGAAGTTTCAGGGGTTTGCAGTTTTCTTTGAATTTTATTTTTTTGCAAGCAAATCAGATGAGTGATACTTCTGCTGTGTCTGTCTTCTCTCTGGATTATAGGTCTGCCCCAGACTGGGTGGTTTATTTTAAGCTCCTGTAGGCTGTGGCATTAGAGACAGCTAATTCCTGTTGTGTACTGGCTCTGCTGCCTGCCTGAGGGGAGCAACAGGTTGTTCTGGATAGTGGCTGTGACCCCTTGGGTGCTTTTGCTGCTGGTCATGCTGAAGTCTGGATGGGTGCACACCTGGATAGTATGTTTATACAGCCCTTAGCACTTTGGAGCTATCCTGCCAGCTGTTTGAACTAACTGCTGCCTGGCCATGACAGTGCAAACAGTTTGTCACTGGCAGAAAATGTCTTCATCTGCTAAAAAAACATGTATGCAAAGTTTGACATAAGGGGTCAATGCTCTGCAGTGAGATCTCTCCTTACTAGGCAGGGCAGAGTTAAAATGACAGGCAGCATGGACATATATTTTAAAAAATGACAACTGTAGTAATCTCATGAGCCCAGTTAAAATAGTCCCTGGGATGCAGAAAGGATTCTGCTAAGGAAAAGGTTAAGCCAGGTTGGCTGACTAGAGAGTATCTGTAAAGATCCTCATTACATCTGGGGTCATTTATTTCCCAGTTTTCCCACAGAAGGAGCTGCTTTGCTCAAATGTGGTGCTTGCAGCAGCGAGTGCCTTGGCTGGAGGGTTCTGTGGCCCCTCTAAATTCTGCAATATAACTCGTGTGTCCTCGTGTTCTGTGGAGCTTTGTAGCAGGTGGTTTGAGCAGATCAGGCACCCAGGAGGCTGCAATGCTGAGTGCCCCCATGCCTTGCTAGCAGCCTGGCAAGAGCAGAAGAGAAAAACCAGCACTGTAGTCCCTTAGGGAGTGTCCTGCTGTTCGGAGGGGTTCATGTGCTCTGGTATGCTGCAGGTCTGGGGCATGGCAGTGCTGGGAGTGTCTCTCCTCCTCTTTCTTTAGATCAGAGCTTCATGTGTCTGTGAGGGGCTTTACACAACAGGTCCCTCAGGATGCCACTGTTTCTTCAAAAGCAGAGGCTGCTCCTCCTGTTCATCCCTTTAGAGAGTGATGGAGGTGATGGATCCAGTGTGTCAAGACTGGCAAAACTCTTGGTTCATGTCCCTGCTTGTGGGACAGTCTCTATGCTCTGCTCAGACCCAAAGCAAGAGGCAAAGATCTTATTTAAATGGCTGATCCTCAACTGCAGAATGGGGACATGAAAGGGAGATTTTGCTATAGCTTTTCTGAAAGGCTCTGCAACTTCATAGCACTTTGTTGAGAGCAAGTTTTCCTCAGATTAGCACCTCAGGTGTTGTTCTACTGGTGACTTTCTTTTCACTTCTTCTCACCTCTGCTCTAATTCTGCTCTCAAGTGTGACTTTGCAGAACACCTAAATCCCAGTCCACAGCCAGAACAGGGAATTAGGGAGTGGTAGTGCAAATACAGCTGCTCTTACAGTCCTTAGCTCTTTAAGCCTGAAGGCCAAGACAACAGCATGGTTGTGTGGTCAAGGGAAAGCAAGGAGCTATTAGGAAGAATTTGTAGGTTTCCAGTGTGTTTCTCCACCCCCAGCTGAGGTTTGGTGAGGCAGATAATGAAGCCTGGGGTTTGTCATAAAATGACTCATTGTCAGAGCTGCATTGGGATTTAGGCAACCTCAGCCCATGAGCCAAAGTTGCAGAAGAGAGTGGTGAGTTGAGAGACTGCCAATTTTATTATTTTTTTACTACCTGCTTTCAAACTCTTTCAAAAACGTTGTTTTTCTGAGGGTTTGGTGCTGCTGCATTTTCTGAAGCTCTAGTTCCTGGAGTGCCTGCTCTGACCTGATGGCTGTTAAGAGGAAGATTGTTCTGGTTTTCCTGGAGATGTTTTATCCTAAAGAGGATGAAATCTGCACACAAGAAAGCAGCACAGTCTTTCTTTTCCTCTGACTTGCCCTCTGCTTGGGAAGTGACTCACCTTGTTCTGGCTGTACATGTTAAGAGGTGCCTCAGTTAAAAAAGAGCATAATCCTCACTATTGTTAATTATGACATCTTTATTAAAGAAATTTAATATTTAATAGAATTAAAGCAATCCTTGGTACCTTGTAGTGGTTTTCCTTAGCCCATGGAAAGCTTTTAATGGAGATAAAGTCTTTGGTCTTGAACCTGGCTGCTGCAGGAGGTAAATTAAAGGCATTTTTCCTCAGGCCAGCAGCAAGTTCTGCTTTGATAGGTCCCAGTTAATGGTGTCCTCAGTGTCTTCTGAGGGTCTCCTGAACATGCTGCTGGTAGAGCATGGTGAGTGAGCTTAGCACGGGCTGTGGGGCTGGAGAAGGTCTAATTTGTACTTAAAAGAGGAGGTTTGAGAAGCAGCCACAAGATAAGCTAATGAATGAGTCGCATACATCTGAGCGCAAATCACAGTTTCCCCATCCCTGCTTGTTTGCCAACGTATTGTCTAAATCATTAATACTTAAAGAGTGGTGCAGCAGCTGGCAGTTAAACAGAGCCACATTAAACAGTGGTGTTGCTGAGTCTGGGAGCTGAGGCAATGATGGCAGCTCCTGGTGGGGTGTAAGAAATGTTCTGGCTTGCAGTCACAGGGTGAGACTGGCTGGGAGGACCTCCAGAAGTCAGCAGGTCCAGCCTGGACCTTCTCCTTGGGTGCTAAAGCTGCAGCTTCTGAATACCTCCCTTTGGCTGCTTACTCTGTAGCTGTCGTGCTGGGACAGGCTGAGCAGAGCTGAGAAAAGGGCCTGGAGCTGAGATGGGCAGGAAATGCTGCTCCCAGCTCTCTTAATTTGGGGAGATTTATGCCCTGTCTTTCAGGAATTGACTGGATTTAGAAATGAGGTGGTGTCACTCTCTCTGTGGCTCAGTGCCTCCCTGGCTGGGGTAGGCATCAACTTTTGCTCATAAATATTGCAAGCTGTTAATGCATGAGACAGGCAGAGCCATTCTGCATTATTTTCATGGCAGGAAATTCTCAGGGCATCTTTGAAGTTAGAGCATTTACTTCTTTTTTCCCTTCCCTTCTGTTTCTGAGATGTCTATTTGCTCCCTCGGGGATGATGAGGAGGTAACATTTTGCTTCAGTGAGTCTAACTACTCCATTCCATGTAGGGGACAGGCTGAGCAGAGCTGAGAAAAGGGCCTGGAGCTGAGATGGGCAGGAAATGCTGCTCCCAGCTCTCTTAATTTGGGGAGATTTATGCCCTGTCTTTCAGGAATTGACTGGATTTAGAAATGAGGTGGTGTCACTCTCTCTGTGGCTCAGTGCCTCCCTGGCTGGGGTAGGCATCAACTTTTGCTCATAAATATTGCAAGCTGTTAATGCATGAGACAGGCAGAGCCATTCTGCATTATTTTCATGGCAGGAAATTCTCAGGGCATCTTTGAAGTTAGAGCATTTACTTCTTTTTTCCCTTCTCTTCTGTTTCTGAGATGTCTATTTGCTCCCTCGGGGATGATGAGGAGGGAACATTATGCTTCAGTGAGGCTAACTACTCCATTCCATGTAGTGAAAAAATGTCCTAACAGTAATTAGGCTCCAAATGGGATAGTAATTTCTTTAATGACTTTCTTCATGGCAGTCTTTGGGGAGGTGACTTTTTGTTTGCCTGCACTTGGTGAATAACTTGCTTAAATGTTGTTAGAACATTTCTTCCCTTATCCATGTGAGCTACATAATCTTCCAGGGTTGGTGTTGAAGCAGAGCAGAATAGGTGGGCAACTTCATGAGGGAGCCATGCTCACGACTGCTGCTCATCCCTCTGCCTTCAGCCTCTGCCCACGCTGAGGGCACAGGATAAGAAGGAAGGGTGGTCAGATGTGGAGGAGAGACCCTCACCCACACCCAGCCTCTCCCCTCCAAGCCTCTGCCTCGCCAATCTTTGGGCCCCACTGTTTGTTCCACTTTGCTCAAAGCTTGCTGTTGCTGCCACAGAAGTGAGTTTTCCTGCTGCCAAGGAGGATGAGTTGTCCCTCTGCCACAAAGTGAAAAAATTGAATTGTGCCTTCATGGCTGAGAAGCTTTGAGCTGTCTCTGCCTCCTCATATTGGTACTGCAGAGCACTGAATGGTCCTGCTGTATTTATAAATAAAACATGTCTTCAGGTAGTGACAGCATTAGGAAATCATTTAAGGTTTGCATTCTAGATAGAATGTATTTGTACATATGAACCTCAGGAGTGTCATATGCTCCCTCCCATGTTTTATAGA